AATGAATGGACGAACGGACGGATGGACAGACAGACAGACAGACAGATAGAGATAGAGATTAAGATGGTAAGATGTAGTACTATTTCCTCCATTTCTTTCTTTGGAGATCTAGAGCAGGGGTGTCAAACTGCCAGCCCAGGGCCGGATGTGTCATGCCGAAATCGTGCCCACCCCATTGCCGGTAATGGAAAAAAAGTTACGATACATTGCGACATGTCACATGACATTGCGAGTTTGACACCCCTGATCTAGAGGAAAGTTCAGTATTAATTATACTCTATGTCTTGAGTACATTTGAGCTCATAAAAATTCAGCTAAAGAAACTGTTTTTAATCTTGGGGCTGTTGACTGATTTGGAGCAGTTAACCTCAGAGTTTTTATGTGTGAATATGTTTTATATGATATGACAGTCTAGCTTCTAACTGGAGCAAACATCCATGTTTATCATCCAATGACTGTAGTCATTATAGATGAAGCAACATAGAGGACATACATTCATTATGTGAATGTATGTGTGTAGTGGGGTGCCCCAGGGCTCTGTTCTGGGCCCAGTACTCTTCAACATCTTCATCAATGATTTGGATGAAGGGATAGATGGGGAACTCATCAAATTTGCAGACGACACCAAGCTGGCAGGAATAGCCAACACTCTAGAAGACAGGCTTAAGATACAGAAGGATCTGGACAGACTTGAACACTGGGCACTAACTAACAAAATGAAATTCAATGGTGAAAAAATCAAGGTTCTACATTTAGGCAAGAAAAACCAAATGCACAAGTACAGCATAGGTGGCACCATGCTCAATAGTAGTAACTGTGAGAGGGACCTCGGAGTCCTAGTAGAAAATCACTTAAATATGAGCCAGCAGTGTGCTGCAGCTGCCAAAAAGGCCAACACAGTGCTAGGCTGCATTAACAGAGGGATCGAATCAAGATCACGTGAAGTATTAATACCACTCTTTAATGCCTTGGTAAGGCCACACTTGGAATACTGCATCCAGTTTTGGTCACCACGATGTAAAAAAGATGTTGAGACTCTAGAAAGAGTACAGAGAAGAGCAACAAAGATGCTTAGGGGACTGGAGGCTAAAACATATAAGGAACGGTTGCGAGAATTGGGTATGTCTAGTTTAACGAAGAGAAGGACAAGGGGGGACATGATAGCAGTATTCCAATATCTCAGGGGCTGCCATAAAGAAGAGGAAATCAAGCTATTTTCCAAAGCACCTGAAGGCAGGACAAGAAGCAACGGTGGAAACTGATCTAGGAGAGAAGCAACCTAGAACTAAGGAGAAACTTCCTGACAGTGAGAACAATTAATCAGTGGAACAGCTTGCCTCCAGAAGCAGTAAATGCTCCAACACTGGAAGTTTTTAAGAAGAGACTGGACAGCCATTTGTCCGAAATGGTGTAGGGTTTCCTGCCCGAGCAGGGGGTTGGACTAGATGACCTCCAAGGCCCCTTCCAACTTTACTACTACTACTACTACTACTACTACTACTATTATTATTATTATTATTATTATTATTATTATTATTATTATTATTATTATTATCACTTCATACATGACTTCAGGCACAATAGATTTGTTAGAAGAGTTGCTTCACACTTTTAGCCAGAAGTTATCAACTGTAAACAAATTGATCTTCAACCACACTTCAAAAGAAATACCCTCCTATTCAGATGCAGTAAGTTTGAAACAAAGCAAAGTGTAGCTTTAAGAGCTGAATGTGCTCCCTTCTATTCAAAATCTTACCTGCTCTACTAGGTATTGGCCCTTTTTACACAACATGGCTGATCTCCTTTAATCCATCCATTCACCTTAGTTCATCAGCAGCACACAATCTAGGATAGTTTGGTTGGTTAAGAGATGGACCTATTTTTAGTTTTAAACATTAGAAGACATTCTAGGGTAGAAGTTATCAGTCACAATTGTCAAGCCCACTTTGGGATGATAAATTCACACAGCTTTAGGGTAAGAGGATCACCGCTGAAGGGACTGTAAATAGCAAACGTTCCTTTAGTCCCCACCTGAGTGCAACTGAAGCTAAGAAATCTTGATTGACAGTAATCTTTCTATCTTTAGGTACTCTGCCCATTGGCATTTACAAAGGCTCAGTGCCTTGCCTTTTGTATTAAATCAGAATTCCCTGTATCAAAATCAGAAGTGGTAGGACATGCATCGAATCTTCAAAGCCTTGTGGGAATGCTTTGGGGGTGTGGAGGAGGGAGAGAATGATGAAAGGCACAGTGAAATGCTGAAATTACTTGCATACTTGAGTCAGAAGTCAGTACACAAGTACATAAAATTGGCATTTGTGTGATTATATCACCATGTGCAAATCATTATTTTGCATTTTTGTATTTTGTATTTTTGAGATTTGTTATCATAATTTTTTTCTGTGCTGATAGGTTTTGCTCATGATCTGAGGAAGATGATGTGATCAGGACCTGAAAACTCAGTTTTGGCATTTGTGTAAGTAATTTATTGTGCAAAAAGGATCACAAAATTAGAGAAGATTACGCTATCTTTCTGTGTTGTTGTTGTTGTTAGTTGCGAAGTCGTGTCTGACCCATTGCGACCCCATGGACAACGTTCCTCCAAACCATCTTATTTGTCTCTTGAGAAACCTATATGTGGGTCAAGAAGCAACAGTGAGAACTGGACACGGAACCACTGATTGGTTCAAAATTGGAAAGGAGTCCGGCAAGGCTGTATACTGTCGCCCTGCCTATTTAACTTATATGCAGAGCACATCATGAGAAAGGCAGGGCTAGATGAATCAAAAGTTGGAATTAAAATTTCCGGGAGAAATATCAACAACCTAAGATATGCAGATGATACCACTCTAATGGCAGAATGTGAAGAGGAACTAAAGAGCCTCTTGATGTGGGTGAAGAAGGAGAGTGCAAAAGTTGGCTTGAAACTCAACATTAAGAAAACCAGGGCTTTTTTTGGCCATAGAACGCCCTGAATGGAGTTCCGGCACCTTTTTTGGATGGAACCTTGTAGGGTAGGCAAGGCGGGTTGTATGACATGTGTGAGTTCCGGCACCTTTTTTTTTTTTACAAAAAAAGCACTGAAGAAAACCAAGATCATGGCATCCGACCCTCTCAATTCCTGGCAAATAGATGCAGAAGAAATGGAAGTAGTAACAGATTTTATCTTCCTGGGCTGCAAGATCACTGTAGATAGGGACTGCAGCCAAGAAATTAAATCTTTCTGTACTGATAAACATATCTGAATTTTTGACAGCCTGTTGTGGTTCTTCTCATGAAATGAGTGTTGTGAAAGGATTTTCTCTGTTTACAAAGTAGTTGGGGTTTTTTTGCATAGCAGTTCACAACATCCATTTCCTGGAAGGCAAACTGATGAAAACACTGTTTAAGACCTTTTTATTTTCTCTTTTTCCTGAAAGGGTAGGAATAGTTTTGAATGAATTAGTGGGCACAGCCCTTTGCAACTCTTAACGATGTGTATGGGGCTTATCTGGATCTCAGGGCTTTCATGTAAATGATGGTAAAAGCAAATTATTTGTAGTGTATCTTGCCAGCTCCCCATTGATCTTTTTTTTAAAAAAGATATAATAATAATAATAGTAATAATAATAATGTTGGAAGGGACCTTGTAGGTCATCTAGTCCAACCCCCTGCTCAGGCAGGAAACCCTATACTATTTCAGACAAATGGCTGTCCAGTCTCTTCTTAAAAACTTCCAGTGTTGGAGCATTCACAACTTCTGGAGGCAAGTTGTTCCACAGGTTAAGGAAATTTCTCCTTAGTTCTAGGTTGCTTCTCTCCTTGATTAATTTCCATCCATTGCTTCTTGTTCTACCCTCAGGTGCTTTGGAGAATAGCTTGACTCCCTCTTCTTTGTCGCAGCCCCTGAGATATTGGAACACTGCTATCATGTCCCCCCTCGTCCTTCTCTTCATTAAACTAGACATACCCAACTAGACATACACAAGACCTGTGGAGACAGAGTCTAACAAAGTGCATCACTTTATTTGTGAGATGCCTAATGCAGGGCTTTTCAACCTTTTCATCTATTGTACCACTTTTAGGATATGGCAATGTCCGAGTACCACCAGTCACCTAACAAGATGTCAAAAACTTGATGACCAAAAAAAAAAAAAAAAGGGAAAAAAGTGATAAAGTACAGGTAGTTCTCAACTTACAACAGTTCGCTTAGTGATTGTTCAAAGTTATAATGGCACTGAAAAAAGTGCTCCCCAAGCCACAGCCGAGCAAGACACCTGCCTGCCCACCCGGCGGTGCTCTTCCTCCTGTCCGAAGTTTTCATTGTTGTGAGCATTTCTGTTGAAGATTGGCAGTGGGGGTGGGGTGGGGGTATTTGTTTTTTATTCCCCCTGTCTGCTGGGTGGTTGCAGCAGGTTTTGGTCACTTCACATGACCCTGGGACACTGTGACCATCATAAATATGAATCAGTTGCCAAGTATCTGAATGTAAATCACAAGACCCTGGAGATGCTGCAACATTCCAGCTGATCAGCGCTTCTGGGCTCAGAAGAAGCGCCAGGATCAGTGCTGCTTTCCAGCTGATTGGTGCTTCTTCAGGGCTCAGCATAAGCACCAGGATCAGCGCAGAGCTCTAGCTGGAGCCTGGTGTTGATCCTGGTGCTTCCACTGAGCCCTGACAGCCCCAAAGATGTGCCGATCAGCTAGAAAGCAGCACTGATCCTGGCACTTCCGCTGAGCCCTAACAGCCCTGCAGCTCCAGCCATCTCTCGCTCAGGCCTGTGCGGTGCTGCCACTGGTTCAGCTCATTCCCCTCCCCCGCTACCACTTTTCTAGGATGGTCACGTACCACCTGCCAGGTGCCAATGTACCACAGGTGGTACCCGTACCACTGGTTGAAAAGCCCTGGCCTAATGTGTTCTTCATAGTGGCTCTGTAAATAATCTTGTGACCATCCCCTAGCTGCCAGCCAGCTATCTGTAAATATAAGATCAGAAACATAATTAAATGTTGCTACTCACAACACCACAATATGATTGTACAGACTTGACTGGGTTGGCACATTGTCTTTCTCTAGGCGAGCTCAAAGTCCCATCTGTCATTTCATCTTCTGAATCTCCTTGGAAAATCAGAAAATGATTTGGGATCAACAAACAAGAACAGGCCACATAAGAATAATTTGGTCCAAAGTCTTGTTTATATACCCATTCCAGATGGAGACTAATGTCTCAGTCAAACAGTCTTAACAGAATCCTAGGAAAGCCCCCCTCCCCCAAAAAAGTACTCAATCCCATCCAGGTCTATTAGTTAACTGGAGCAGACTGTCAACTATATTCTGTCTTCCAGTAGCTGGGGAAACTAAATACCAGCAAGCAAAAACACAACCAGGGAATTGTCTGGACATGACATTGATGGTGTTGTCCTCACTTTAGATCACGTCCCAACTGCTTCAAAATAAAAACCAATTGAACCCAGCTTTAATTACTACGTTTGTTGGGCCCTCAGTAACTTGGTTCAGATCCATGGTGGCCACAAACTCCTTAGTCAAACTGAATTGTATGAGGGTAATTTAGAATCTTCCAGAACTCTGAGACCTGGAGACTCCACTGTTAGTTCAGAGATGGAGTTAAGCAGCTCAGATAGGAAATTTGCTATGCCACATGGAAACTAGTACTGCAGCAATTGCTTCCTAGTCCCTAACTGTAACCACAAAATCTCACATCTGGTTATCTGTGATACAGCATCTCTGAAGGGTATTATGAACTCCTGCGTGACAATTCCACCTTACTATGGGGAACAAGAATAGAGTTATAGTAGTTCTTAACAATTGTTGCTGTGTGTTCTGTAGAATTAAAAAAAAAGTATTTTCCTGTTTCCTTCTTTCTAGAATATCTGCACATAAAGAAAATATGATCTAATCTCATGGCACTTGCCCAGCCAGCTCCTTTCTAGAATATTTCTTGTAAAATTGTTAAAGGCTTGAACAAGCTAATCTCACGCTAACCCCTATTTTCCTTCTTGTATGCTTCAGATTCCAGCAGTTGTTTTTTTTAAAGCTGTAAGCTCATAATATCTTTTGAAATTTGTTTCATTTTTTTTAATGCTGTATTTCTCTTTTAAGTTACAAATGTAGCATGTGCATATTTTTTTCTTCTCTTAGTTCAAGTTCCAGGGTAAATTAGAAGTAAACTTTTTGTAATGATAGAATTCATTATCAATTGTTTATTCCCAGGCATAGTCCATTGATAAAACAATGGACTATGCCTAAGAAGAAACAATTGATAATGAAATAGGCTAGATTAAAAAAAGAAAGGGTCTTTGTCTAGATCCTGGATGTCTAAGCATCCTTTCAACAAGATTTTCTTTGTTAATTCTCACTTGCCTTCTCCCTATATCCCCCTCCCTTCCTTGTCAAAAAAATGCCTGCTTGTGATTGGTTAGGAAAAGAGGGAGAAATCAGAATAATGTTCAGAGTTGTTTTTCTTAGGAGTGCATAATTATGCTGCAAGCAATAAAACATAAACAGTGGATTACATTATCAAGGAAATGCAACAAATGGCTCCTTTTTAATTAAAATTATATAAAATAAATAGATTTATTTTGCTTAGGCTGCTAAAGATGGGGAACAAAGATCATGAAAGTCAATGGATCCTGGCCTCTGAATGATTAACCATTCTATTCTTCTAGCCAGCTCTGGAGGTCCCATTCTTTTTCAGACCTTAAAGGCTAAAATTTGAAACTCACTATTTTCTTTCATGAAAACTAAAAATTTCAATATACATGTTATTTGTCAGAATTTGATTCAACTTGTATAAGGCAATTATGAGCTGATAAATGTATTCTATTTTGGGCATTAGACTAACCAGCCTAAATATTAAGTAACATTTTTCTTTAAGTGTTTTCCCATTGTAGATTCAATGTCAGGTGCCTAAAATTTTGTTTTTTTTTTCTCCTGCAAATCTCCATTATTCCTTATAAGAAAACTATTGCATAGATAAATATATATGTTTAATTAAATTAAATTAATTAATTTAAAACATATACAATGCTTTGATGCAGGCTTTCATGAGCAGTGTCAATCCAATGGTGATGAACTTCTAGGCTAGTCACTTAAGTAGGCAGCTAGTCACCTATATCACTCTGCCAAAGATACAAGCAAAGTATTGTGGGAAGTCAGCCCCCTAGAGAAGGAAATATTAAAAGGGCAGAATATTATATTTCTCCAAAGGATCTTAAAGAGGCAGAACAGCATGCCCAGTTTTCTTAATAGCACCAAGTCTCCCTCCCCCAAGCAGAAACCAGCTCTGTACAAATGCAGATGTAAATAATCCAGGAAGGTTGGAAGCCCCCAACTGGAAGATTAAGAAGAAAAAGACACCTAAAATCTACATACCCCACCAAAGTCTAAGACAGGACATAATAGGATTAACTCACAGATGCCAAAGGGCACACTCAGACTCAGATCAGAATACATGACACAGGAAATACAAAACCTCAAACGGGAACAGGAAACAACTCCAAACAAAAGGCTCCAGAGGCTATAAAAACTCACTCCCTACATGTGCTCTCTCTCTTTTTTCTTCCAGAGCCATCTTTCTGTCTGGCTCTCATCTTCAATAAACTGCATCCTTCTTTCTAAAGCAGTCGCCATGTTGTTTATTCCCGGCTTGGACTGAACCATGATGAAGACTTTTCCTTCAACAGTATCACTACAGTAGCTCTGTTTAGAGAGTATATATACTCAGGGTTTACTGAGCCTAATATAATTACATTTAATGTATTTAATGTAATTTAATGGGTTGTATAACACATTAAATTAAATTAATTAAATTGCACACAATACACCATACCCTAAATTTGTTTAGTCTCAGCAATATTTTGGTCCAAAAACTTTTAATAACAGTTTGGTTGCACTACACACTGCTTTTGAGTGAGGGATCTGTAACTTTATGAGCCTGCAAAACATGAAGGTCAAGAAAATTAATAATCACATTGAAATATTCATCTGAATGAAAGTAATCCAATTAAGAGATAGAGAACACCATAATCTGCAAATAGATGGAAAATGTTTGGAACAACAATAATAGATACCTGCTGAATAAAATGCATCAAAGCCCACATTCTTTTAATGAAAATATTTTAATACACTTTTGGAAGTGAAGCTGCCATGCCCCAAAGAGAGGTGATAAAATATGCTTGGATCTGGCATATGTTCAGTATGAATACTTGTGTATTAAAAGCACAATAATATCAAGCAAAATCTGAAGAAACACAAGCCAATCTAATAAATGCTGAAGGACAAACTCTTTAGATGAAATCAGTAAGAAGGAAGGAGAGCAGTTTCCATTTTGGGCCTGACACATTAAAACATTTAGAAACAATAGAGATATTTCAGAAGAATTACATGGGATTCTTTGCTGCTTATTCAAAATTAATAGCATGTAGATATTTGTGCTGAATTCTGCTTTTATATTCTACATATGAACCTATTTCGGAGCTTTGCTTTCTATCAGTTGAAGCTGCATTTGACACTTAGGCAAAGCTTAACACAGTTTCAAACCTGTATGATTTCACTGAAATCTCAGGGATGCAGGACCAGATGAGAGGTCCATGTTCAACCCTTCTTTCTTAAAATTTCTCCAATTTTTCCCACAGTATGTCCCTGTGATATAGGTTGGGCTAAGAAAGCATGACTAGCTCAAATGTTCCATGGCTGAGGGATTAGATGAAATAGTAAGCTAACAGTGATTAAAAGAATTTTGCCCCCATTTTGCCCCAACTCGTGACACAGTTGTTGTGAATCACTGCAGTTGTTAAGTTAGTAACATAGTTGTTAAGTGAATTCAGTTTCCCTATTGACTTTGTTTGTCAGAAGGTTGCAAAAGGTGATCACATGACCCCGTGACACTGCAATTATCAAAACTATGAGTCAGTTGCCAAATGTCTGAATTTTGATCACATGACCATGGGGATGATGCAATGATCTTAAGTATGAAAAACAATCATAAGTCATTTTTTTCAGTGCTGTTGTAACTTCGAACGGTCACTAAAAGAATTGTTGTAAGTTGAGGTCCAATTCAAGGTGTTTCTAAAGCTGCATAAAGCCTTAAAAAGTTTAGGCCTCAAGCTACTTACAGAACTGCTCATATTCTTACTAGTAAAAAGGCCACCATTTTTGGTCTTGCCACGTATAGGTTTGATATCAAGCATCAATTTATTTTTCCCATATTACAGATCCAGTTGCCACTGGAACTACAATTGTTTTCAGGAGAATTCAAAATATTTATTTTGCAATCTCTTAAGAGCACTACTTTAGCTTTTGTGTTTTATATCATTTACTATCCTTTTTTACTTATTTCTAATGGATCATAAGTGTTGTGACAAGGCCATTAAGGAAATGGGTAGCGTATAAGTTTCCATATAATATCTGGCTTTATATTTTCTTGGAACTCAGTAGAAAAGGCAATGGCAAAAGAAAGAGAAAGTACATTAAGTGAGCTGAGAAAGGACAAAATATACTGACATGTAGATCATGAGAGTTATATGAGCTATCCAGCAAGGAAGTAAGCTTGTGGAAAGTCATCAAGGATAAGAAATAAGAAAATGAAAGGTAGAAAATGTTAGGCAGAGGAAATGCAGAGAAAGTAGGCTCAGCATAATAAGAAAAAGGTTTGTTAGCTTATAGAGCCATTAAGCTTGGAAATGCTTCAAATATGCTTGCGTCTAGAGGTCAGGAAAGGAGCTGATAAGTCATTCCTGAAATAACAAAGTAATCAATTGATTTAAAACTTGGTCATTGTTAAAAATGCTGTTCATTATTTGCCTTAGTGCTTGCAAAACAGGATGGGTGATGTTGTGTCCTGAGCCTGGAAAGGCAGGCTCGGGACGTTGCAATGGTCCCGGGCAGGTGCAAACTGCCTGGGACCAGACTGGCTGGCGCCGGCGTTCACGCACATGCGCGAGGCACGCAGCGCGCCTAAATGTTGCCTTTTGGCCCAGGGATTGTCTTTAAGAGAGGCTGAGAGCTTTGTACTCCTCAGTGTTGTAACGGGGGCTACTGAAGACTAATAAAGAGTTCCTGAAACTACAGAATGCTTTGTGAAATCACTGCCATTAACCGAGGACTCAACAGGTGAGCTGATGGATATTTCAAACTGTTGTCTCAGAGGGGGAAGAGGAATATGAGATAAATATAAAAAAATATGAAAAAGAGAGTGTGAGATTACTTCAGGAATGTCATGGTTTCAGAGTTAGATGAGGAGAGAGAGCATAAAGCAGTGAGAACAGGAAATAATGTTTGTTTGTTTTTGGTTTAATGATCTGTCTAACATTTTCAGTTTCTAGTTTTCCCCTCTCCAGTGCAAATTATAATTTTTAAGTGATATAGATGCATAAAAAAGAAAGATGTAAAATCAATTCTGCAAGCAACTCCTAAAAAATAAGCCATTGTGAGATCAATGGGACTTCTTCTCAGGTAAGGGAGTATAGGTTTACAGTATAAATACAACATATCTAGGCACTTCAGAGCTCATCAAAATAAAAATAATGTTTTTGAGAA